GGACGAGAGCACTGACCGTCGGCGCGGCAAACACATGATTGTGTTTGCCACGTTTCTCCGCGATTGCCAAGTTGTCACTGAGTTCGTCGCCCATTTGACGATTGAGAAGGGTGACGCTGCATCTTTGTGGAGCTTGTTGGTTTCCCACCTCAGGGCTGTCGGCGTTGACCTCCGGCGTATCTCGAGAGTGAGCACGGATGGCGCCTCGGTGATGGTGGGGAGTCAAAACGGTGTGGTTGCTCGTCTGTGAATGCTCATCCCCAACCTGGTCTCGTTTCACTGCATCGCTCACCGGTGCGTTTGTGCTTTAATGTGATATGTGTAAAAGTCAGTGATTATTATTATCATTCTATAATTGTGTGTGGTTTTGTTTGGCAGGGAGGCCTTGGCTGCCAAGGCCGCATCGGAGGCGATACCAACCTTCAACATGGTTGACGACGTGATCCGCGCCGTCGCAGAGTACCTCGGGCGATCGTCGCCGTGGCATCAGCGCTTCATGGAGCTGCAGGAGGTGCTCACGTCCACCAACCTCGAGGTTCAAGGAATACACGACGTGCGGTGGCTGTCAAGAGGAGCTGCAGTGGTCCGCTTCGTCCAAGCCCTTCCTGCCATCATGGTGATGTTGTCGGAGTGGAAGGACCAGACCATGTATGAACTCGTCACGTTGTACAGGTTCCAGTTCCTCATCAGGTTCCTCGCGGAGATGCTGGAGCAGCTCAACGTCCTCTCCTCGGTTTTCCAGAAGCGGGAGGTAAGTGACTTCCAGGGTGTTGCTTGTGTTGGTTCCCTTTGAATGTTGGTGTTGCAGCTCCCTTTGTACTAATTTTCTTTGCATGTTTGTGTTGCAGCTCGACTACGCGCTGGTGCACACGCAGATTCTGCACACAATATCGATCTTGGAGGCCCGTTACATCGACTGTGGAGCCGACTTCGGAGGGGGGGGAGGGGGGGGGGGCACCGAGAGGCTGTACCGCTTCATTGAGAAGCACGGTCCGAGTGGGTCACCCGAAATGATGGTGGAAGGAGCATCGTCCGACGGCAGTATGAACCGCTTCAAGGTAATACTTCACGAGCGCACCAACCCGAGCTATCATGGGCCAGGTCATCACCACGTCTGAATGCGCTCTGCACCGACATGGCTGAGCTCGTCGTCGAGAACCTCCAGTCAAAGCTCGGCGACCTTAACTCTCTTTCCGGAGTGAGGTTGTTTATTCCAGACATGTGGCAACCGCACTGGGACCGGGACGCATGGCAGGCACAGTGCCTGGAGTGGTTGTTGGCTCTTGTCACGTTGTTTCGCGCAGATGAAGCCGACGAGATCCTACCTGGTAAGATTTTGTGTCATCCCGCCCCGTTCCCCCCTTGACAACGACTCGTTTACTCAACCCGTGTCCTGTTTTACCTTGCAGGCATTGACAAGAGGAAAGCCGTGAGGGAGCTGCGGACACTGTGTCCAGTCCTTGCCAGAGCTGCGAAGAGCGAGCGCAAGTTCCACACGGGACTTACCGCGATTCTCAGGACACCCGATTGGCAGCAGGCGTACCCCAACCTCGTCGGACTGTGGGTGGCGATTGCAGTGCTGCCTCTCAGCACGGTCGAGTGTGAGCGAAGATTCTCCCGACATAATCTCATCAAAACGTGGCAGAGGGGCAGCATAAAGGATTGTAGGCTGAGTGATCTGATTTGTATTTCAATGCTAGACTATGAGCTAGATGTCCCAGGAGTAGTAGAGATTTGGCGCAGCTACAAGAAGCGCCGGCCGGTCACAGCACCTGCTGCAAGGCACAGGGAGGAGCCCCCAAGGGCTGGGAAGGATCCTGTAGACGAACCAGTAGTAGCACGTGCCCCTGTAGTATCTCTGTCAGACTATCAAGAAGAAATGTAAGAAGTTCACTACACTTACCGTAGGTGTTTTCATATAAGCTGTGAAATTGACTGTTAGTCTGTAAGATCAGCGTTGAAATGCAAGTGTAGTCTGAACTTTCAGACTAAAAGAATCGGGTTACTCTGACAGCCAGACTAGGAAGAGGGGTGTACTCTGAGGCCTCAGACTACCTCAAAACGAATCTAGGGGCCTGCTATACATGTGTTAGTTCTGTGTAGGCTATAGTGGGGTAGCCCATATGGGGTACAATCTGAAGTTAGGGTCAGTACTTGTACCCAGATTTCATTCAATGCAACCATTCCTGCTTCCTATCATAAAGCCCGCGTCCCGAATTGCGGACCGCGAGGGTCAAGTTTTAAAAACTTGACGAAGTTAAGTGTCCAAGCTTTTGAAAGTCACGCACTTGCAATTTGGGACTTTCGAAGACAGATTCACTCACTAGGTGGAAAACCGAGGGTTGGCTAGGTCTCGCGAAAAAAACGAACCTATACGAAATTGGAAACTCTCGCCAAAGCCCACACCAGAAAAACTCCCTTCGGACAACTTTTAAAAGCATGAACAATTTGGGCCGCCGGCTTTAAAGCCAGCAGCTAAAATAGTGACCCCCCCCCTTCTAGTTGGGTCCAACTTGAAGACCCTAGTTTCTTTGTAGTGTTGTTGAAGGTTGAAGTACTGTGCGTGTGTTTTTTTTCCAGCTCCAGACAAGTTTCGGAGTACAAAGTTCTTTCTCAATTTTGATTGGCAGCCAAACAGATGTGCGAATTTGGCGCAAAGAGCTGCGACGTGCAAGGCAGTGCAACCATTTGACGAGTTGTGACTTCATCAAATGCACATCTAGCAACAGCACAGACAAGATCCCAAGCACACACATACACTGAAGAATACGACTAAGTGCAGCAGAGGCATCGATTGCGACGGAATTGGATGGATATCGTGAGGGCGAGATGAAGGGAGGGGTGATTGTGAGGGCGACGGGACGGACGAGATAGCCGAATAACAGCGGGGCTCGCTAGCAAATGCGAGGGCGAGGGGCAGCGAGAGGAGATGCGACGGGGAGAGCGTGAGCGTGAGGGAGATGGGAGGGGAGAGCGTGAGCGCGAGGGAGATGCGACGGGGAGAGCGTGAGTAATGTTTGAACACCAAGGCTGAATGGTTCACCCGATGAAAATTTCTAACAGAAAATAAATCCAAGTTAATTCGTAGTTCCAAAAGGAGAGAGCCGCATAACCCACGTCCCTCTCAGTGCCCAATGCCACCTTAAAGAAACATTTTAATCAGGCACGGTAGTACTTCGAGCGAGAACAGCGAGAGCGACGTAGTAAGGAGAGAGAGGAAGGTTGACAGGAGAGAGGAGGGGCGACGGGAGAGAAGAGGGGCGACGGGAGAGGAAGCGCCACAAAGAGAGGAAGGGCGAACGGAGAGAGGAAGGGCGAACGGAGAGGGGAAGGGCGAACGGAGAGGGGAAGCGCGACGGAGAGGGGACTGGCGAACGGAGAGGGAAAGGCGAACGGAGAGGGGAAGGGCGAACGGAGAGGGGAAGGGCGAACGGAGAGGGGAAGCGCGACGGAGAGAGGAAGGGCGAACGGAGAGGGGAAGGGCGAACGGAGAGGGGAGGGGCGAACGGAGAGGGGAAGGGAGAACGGAGAAGGGAGGGGCGAACGGAGAGGGGAGGGGCGAACGGAGAGGGAAGGGCGAACGGAGAGGGGAAGGGCGAACAGAGAGGGGAAGCGGGACGGAGAGGGGAAGGGCGAACCGAGAGGGGAAGGGCGAACGGAGAGGGGAGGGGCGAACGGAGAGGGGAAGGGAGAACGGAGAGGGGAGGGGCGAACGGAGAGGGGAGGGCCGAACGGAGAGGGAAGGGCGAACGGAGAGGGGAAGGGCGAACGGAGAGGGGAAGCGCGACGGAGAGAGGAAGGGCGAACGGAGAGGGGAAGGGAGAATGGAGAGGGGAGGGGCGAACGGAGAGGGTAAGGGCGAACGGAGAGTTGAAGGGCAAACGGAGAGGGAGGGCGACGGGACGGCGACGGGAAGGCGACGGGACGGCGACGGGACGGTGACGGGACGGCGATGGGACGAACGACGGAACGGACGGCGCGAGGATGATCGGAACGGGAGGGCGAGCGAGAATCGATGGGAAGGCGGCGAGAGTGCGTTCGAAATGGCACAAAGTACTACACAACCATGCCAGCTTCACTGTGCGTCAAATTTGAAACCACAACGGCCTAAGTTGATGGTTCTATGGCTAGGCAGGCTATTTATAACTAAAAAACAGAGATGTATGATCGGAAGAACTAGTAGTTCACCCAGGCCCAACTTGAACCCCAAGCTGGGCCCAAAATCGCAAGGACGTGCGTGGGCGATCGCGGTGCTAGAGGTGTGCGCCTTCCCAAGCAGATGTGCGACGCCTGACGTGCTGTGTTTCCTTTTTTTTGGGTTTGGCGAGAACCAATCAGATCTGTTCGATCTGCAAAAATGCTCCCAAAGGAACAGTGCAAACGAGAGAAAATTGTTTCGCTCGGCAGGCCCCCTTTCAAGCTGGCCCCGGGTTCACTATTTTGCATTTCGGTTTTAACATCAGCCACATGTCTGGGAAATCAGCGTCCAGACCCTAAATCAGCCTTTTTTCGCTGACTTCTGAGGCCCTGCAAGCTGGACATGCTTTTCTGGTCTGAAATAATAGTCGAGCAAATGGAATTTCTAGTATCTTTAGTTGTTTAATGTTCTCTGCATGGGTATTTTATGCAAGAGCCACCATTCCTCCTTCCATGTTCTACGGTACCTGTGTGAATGTGCCTCAACAAGTGATCTTCATCTGGTTCTGCATGGTTGAAAGATGGCTTTTCTGAAATGGCAGCTTGCATACCGTACATTGCATGTGTGCCTGATGGATCAATCAAGAGTACTCATCAGTCTTGAATTCAAAGTCCTGCATTCATCAATCTGCAAGAACTGGATGTAATTTGCATGGTAATAACTAGTTTGAGAACACAATACACCAGCATTCATGCATCTGCCAGCCTCTATCGCGAATGCCAAATTGAACTCCCCGATACCCCAGTAAGAGCCTCCTCCTCACTCGACGGAACCTGCGTATTCCCCACAAGAATCTAGTAGATTATGCGCAGAAGAGGAGAGCGGCGAGCAAGACGGCGAGGAGGCCAGTCGCTATGCTCGCAGGAGATGTGAGGGATCCTGTTCCGGACATAGGGCGAAAGCAGAGAAACGTGTAGGTTTAGGACATGCGGCAATGTGGGTGTAACGAAATCGCTTGTCTTTGCGTCCTCCGTATAAGATCTACTTCTCCACGTAACAGTCACAAAAGACGAAATGGCTATTACCGACCAGCAGACTTGGTTGCTGAAACAGAGTCCGGGTTTACGGCCACGACTTCGTTCATGTTCAATGTAACAATCACAGAGGGTTCCTAGTAACAGGAGGATCCACGGCACCTACCAGCAGGCTTGGGTGCGGGCGGAGCGGCTTGATTAACGGTCACGGTTCCGTCAGGATTCACCGAGAATCCTGGCGTCTGAATCCCGCCGGCGCCGCCGGTACTGATGTTGACCCCGCCGGGTAGCGTAATCCCGCCGCCAGGATTGACGGTTGTCCCGTCAGAACTGACGGTCCCGTTCGGATAGACGGTGAAACCGCCGGCAGACACAGATCCGTCCGCGTTCGTCGTCGGGGTGATCGCCTGACCGTCACTGTTCACGATCGTGCCGTTGGGGAAGAACGTCGTGCCGTCTACCGTCACGCTTCCGTCCCCCGCGTCGGTTGAATAACCGTCACCGCTCACCGAACCGTCTGGACCGATGGTAACGCCTGGAATTTGAACCGTGCCGTTAGAGGGTTGAGCGACCGCAAGATTGACGGCCGGCGACAAAGCCGCTGCGAGGAGAAGCACTGTGAGCATGAGTGGACGAGACGCCATGTCAAACCCGACCAGAATGAGGCTTGCAAGAACAGAGGAAGGTGCCTTCTGTTAGGTATGATAGATGAACAACGCAACGTATTGCACTTAGCATCAAGCTAACGGGCCACGGAAAGCTCGGAAAGTTCGCCTGTTTGGCTGTGAGATTTGGATTGGATATTAATACGCAATCGTGGACGGGCATATCTCGCCCTGGTTCCCTCTGTCCGTCCCTCCCTCTGTCCGTCCCTCCATCTCCTTGACGCGCTAACGCTCCAGTTGCTTCTGCCAGTTCTGTAACGGCGGCGCCTCATTTCCCCTCCTCTTGCGTGGAACTTGAAGCCATGGCTTGTTGCTTGTTTGGCAAACACGTAAGACTTTCTTGCGTTTCCTCGCTAACTGCACCGACCGACAATGCCCCCAACGTCTTTTCCTGCCTTGTCCGCCAACAACGCTCGCAAGTTTCCCCGAGGTGGACCCCAGCCCATCAGTGCACACAAGAGGACAGGGATGTTTCTGCCGCTTTTGCCGTTTGCCACTGTAAACCCTTGTAAAAATGCTCTGCGACTGCAAACCCACCAATCATTGTGCATCAACACCAGGTCTGCTTGCTGCGGGACGGTACAAAGCGGTGACTCGTGAACCAGTATCTGTTTGCCAAAAATTGGCTAGCCAAAACCTCGGCGCCTTACTTAACCGCATTGTACCGGCTGTAAAGGGACAGGAATTTGTTCCTCCCAGCATATTTTCTGGCTTTCCCATGTCTGGTGCAGGGGTTGAGCAAGGGGTTACCAGTATATGCGAACAAAAATATGCTCGGGAGCTTCAGCCCCCATGGCTTCTCTGCGACTCACCAGTCGCGAGAGGGGTGATCTAGCGACATAATACGTAGTTAGACCCGGCGAAATTGCTGCCCGTCTCCTCCTGTGCCTACCTCTCCCCATGCCGCGATTGCCTCCGCGTTTATCGTTTAATCATCGACCGTGATGGTTTAGCAAGTATCGCGAGAGAAGGAGGAAGCCTTTCCTGGTGCGGCGGGCGAAGTTGTACCGTAACCAACAGAACGCAACGCATTGTGGTGTAGCAGCTTGCACAGACCTAAGAAGTCAGTTTTAGCGCCCTAAAAGAGCCATCTTTCGGATACGGAGACAACAGGCTCGTGATAGGTCATTCAACATACAGCCAGAGATGTCTACCTCTCTTCTGCAGCAGCAGCGACGCCAGAGAAGGGAGAGCTGGCCACAGCCAGATCTGCGACTCATGCCACGTCATCCCGAGGTGTACGAACCGTGCGACGACTCCTTCGCCCTCGCCGATGCCATCGCCACGGATATCGCCCGGTTCTACCCGTCGCTCGCAACCTGCGCCAGCGACAACAGTCCGTCATCCGATCAAGCCCTTCCACCATCGTTGATCTCTCACAAATCCCCCGCGTCCCCTTCTTCAAATTTCTCTACATCCCCTCACCCTTCACATTCCCCCACCATATCCCCTGGCGTTCCGTCGTTCCCTGCTCTGGTTGTCGAGCTCGGGTCCGGAAGTGGCTTCGTGCTTACATCAGTAGCCCTCGCCCTCCGCGCCCTCTCTGCCCCTTCCGCCCCCCCTGTCATCGCGGGCAGCAACAGTGCGGCTACTGGTGCTGGCGGTGTTGATGTTGCTGGTGCTGCCGGTAGGGATGCTGGCAGTGGTGCTGCTGCTCCCAGTGCTGCCGTCTCCCTTGCCTCTCAGGCCGCATTTCTCGCGGTGGACATAAACCCCCATGCCGCTGACATCACTCGACAAACCCTAGCAGCCCACAGCATTCCAGCGGATGTTGTTTTATCGGATCTCGGAACGGCCCTTATACCGAGGATGGCAGGCCAAGTGAACATTCTCATTTTCAACCCACCATACGTCCCCACTTCGCCTCAAGAAGTGCACCGGCCGGGAATCACGCAAGCCTGGGCGGGAGGGGATCGTGGGAGGGAGGTAATTGATCGAGCTATGGAGGTTTCAGCGGAGCTATTGTCTCCCACAGGGGTGTTTTACCTGCTTGTTGTGGCGGAGAATGACCCTGAAGAGGTGGGGGAGAGGACGAGAGGGTTGGGGTTTGAAGGAGAGGAGCTGCTGAGGAGAGGGACGGAAGAGGAGGTTATTGTGGTGCTCAAGTTTTGGAGATTAAAATTACTGTGATGTTGCCATACAGTTGATTCATATGTGTGTTTTGACATGTGAAGAACGTTGACCAGGAACGTTTATACCGTATATGATAATATGTATGTAAATTCCTTATCTAAATTGTTTTGGAATACTCAGCTTGACGCCTATTCTGAATCTTGACCCTCAACCGGTTCACCCTTAACCGGTTTTTTGCCTACGTCATCACTCGAGAAGGTCTTGTGCTGTTTCGCGGTGCGCTCCCCCCAAATATCGTCTGACGTCATCTCACCGCCAATGCACTGTTGGCAAATCCTCGTCACCGCACAAGCTACCCACGCTAGCACAGGTGCACGTGGCTTACATACTTCAGGCTCGCTGTTCCGAATCTGACGGGTCCCCGCTAGGCTGGGAAGGCCGTTTGGTTCGTGGCACCTACATTTTTGCCAAACCAGCTTTCCTGACTTGATTCCCCCTCTTGTCAAAGCCGATTTGGCATCGTCGGTTTTCCCTAACCTAACAATTGTTCGCCTGACCTGACCCTTTGATTCCCAGACGGGCTTGGTTCGGCTAGTTTCTCCAACCACACCTCTCCCTAATCAGCCTCCCCCCTAACCTTCTCCCCAGCTGCGCAGACCAAACCTCCGCTTTGCTCCCCAGCCTACCTTCCTTCCCCGCTTCCTCCTCCCTCGTCAAACCTTCCCACAGCAGAATCTTTTATTTTCATCGCCAGACCAACTCCCACCTAAGCCGAGCAAGCCCAAAAGCAAGCCAGACCAACTTTTCTGTTCCAACGTGCTACTTTTCTGCTTCTTGCGACATTTGTACGCACGCCATTCTTGAAGTTCTGATCGTATTTTCAACTATTGCCGAAGAAAATATAGCATTTGTACCCTTGCACGTAGCTACTGCTCATCAGCTACCAAGAGAGAACCCGTAATCGAGCACTTTCCGTAGTGCTGAGAGCGTATTGAAGGAGGCCATCCTTCCTGGTGCCTTTCTTTCCGCTAGTGAATCAGGATCCAGATACTTGCACTGGTCTGGTTGTTCAAGAGTTCACATGGCGGAACGTCAGATTGTGGTTGCGATGGATGCTCGCGAGGGAAGCCGCGACGCGTTCTTTTGGGCTTTGGATAATCTAATAAAGCCGGAGGACCATGTCACGCTCCTTAATGTCCGACCAACCCGCGCCACGATTCTTCCCACGCGCACAGGTATTTTCCCCCACGCGCAGGTATCCTCCCTATAGGTGGTGACGCGCTTTTCAGTTGTTGAGACTCCCCATACGCGTGGACCACTTTCCGTAGGCGACGGGCTTTCCGTTGTTCCGACGGCTGTGGCCGCCTCTTGCAGAGAAAATCGAAGGGTTTGAACCGCAGCAAGACGACGGAAGTGGTCCGGCGAGCTGGGTCGTGCACTGATGCGCTTTTTTAAACGCAAGTAATCCTTCTTACGTGGCATTACTCACCGTTGTTGCGTCTCGACCGCTTCACCGTGCTTGTACCAAACTCCCGTGCTTGTATTAGAACCCCCTTTCTCTGCAAAAGTATTGTCGCCATGGCATGCCATCCCATGCCATGTCGTGCCATAACATACCATCTTTTTTCATTTATGCCATTACAACCATGCAATACCATATCACCACACCACGCCACACCACGCACTTCATGCCCTGCACCACGTTCCATCGTCCACCCCACCATGCAGACCTGTCGGCATCGTCCGGAGGGCAAGGCAATGACGGCGATGGGTGCATGCTGGCAATTGAGCCGTTTCCCATGTTAGCCCCCAACCCGGCCCCAACCCCATCCATCCCCACTTCTCTTATGCGTAACATGCAATCTGTGCAGACCTGTCAGCATCGTCAGGAGGGCAGGGCGACGACGACGATGGGTACATGCTGGCCATGGAGCAGATTCTCAATGACGTCATTCACAAGGCGCATGAACGCTTCCCTGTAAGCATGCATTGTGACACTGACAATTCGGTGCACCTCTTGTAACGGGTATGAAAATAACAGCGATGGGTACATGCTGGCCATGGAGCAGATCGTAAACGACGTCATCCACATGCGCACAAAGGCTTCCCTGTAAGCGTACACAAACGAATTGGTGTGGCTCTTATAACGCGTATGCAAGTCACACCAGTGGGTGCTTGGTGGTTATCCACAAAGCACATGAATGCTTCCCTGTAAGCAATGTGACTCTAACAAGTGGCTGGGTGTGCCTGAGGCGCCACAGGAGGTGCGCGCACGAATGCTTTCCTCTACGTGAGGGTGCACGCGTGCAAGCGTGCACGGATGGGGTTGTCAGGTGCTAGGGAGATGGCAACGATGGGTGCATGTTGGTCTGTTCTTGAGTCGACTCAAGAAGCAATGATGGGTACATGTTGGCCATGGAGCATCTCTGAAACGGCCTCCTCTACATGCCGCACAAACACTTATTCTCAAGTAAACGTGACACTAACCAGTGGGTGGGTGTACCAGACCAGGCGACCCGAAGCACCTTATTCTTGATGAGGTGGTCGTTAGGGACGCTGCTGCTCCCTGTGTACCTCTCTTCAACCCTCTTCACCTCTCATCACCGCTCTTCACCTCCCGCTCTCCCAAGGCCATGAAGTTGGCCGACCCCAAGCACCTGCTGCCCTCCCTTTCTTCCCTTTTTCACCCCTCTCACCCTTGCTTCACCCCCCTTCACCACTCTCAACCGCTCTTCACCGCTCTTCCAGGGCTTCAAGGCGGACAAGGCCATCAAGTCGGGCGACTCCAAGTACCTCATTCTCGACAAGGATGCTGCCGCTCCTCTCTTCACCCCTCTTCATCCCTCCACACCCCTCGTAACCCCTTCTTCTCCCATCTTCACCGCTCTCCACCACTCTCCCAGGGTCTCAAGGTGGATAAGGCCATCAAGTCTGGAGACCCCAAGCACCTCATCTAGGACGAGGTGGTCATCTGAGACGCTGGTGCTCTCTTGCTCTCCCTCTCTTCACCTCTATGCACCTCTCTCGTTTCCTCTTCACCTCTCTCCACCTTTCTTCACCGCTCTCCCAGGGCCTCAAGGTGGACAAGGCCATCAAATCGGGCGACCCCAAGAACCTCATTCTGGACGAGGTGGTCATCAGGGACGCGGCAGCGCTGGTCATGAGCTCAAGGGGGCTCAGTCCGGTGCAGAGGTGTGTGCATGGGTGTCTGAGTATGGGGTGGATGGGGCAGCGTTCTTACAGCACCTCGTCCTGGGCGAGGTGGTTATCAGAGACGCGGCAGCGCTCGTGATGAGCTCACGGGGGGTCAGTCCGGTGCAGAGGTGTGTGCATGGGTGCTTTAAGCAGGGTGCTTGATGAATGTGGATAGGATTGCATGTGAACCTCGTTTTGAGTCTACTCAAAGCGGCACAACTTGGTTCTGCCCGCCCTCCCTTTCCTTCTTAGTATATGTATATATATATATATATATATATATATATATATCATATTATATGCACTGCACGCCTTGCCTCCTGTTCGCTCTCCTGCCTTCGAACTCTGTTCACCCCACCCCATCTGCACGTTTCTCCCAACCTCTTGTATCCCCATCCTCCCCCTGTCTACCGTCCCCCTCACCGCCTTCCTCGGCTGAGTCAGCAACTACTGCTCTCCATCCCTTTCTCCTCTCTTCTTCCCCACCCTTGCGTTTTTCCCATCCTCCCTCCCCGGTCCTCCATCTCCCATCCTCGCTCATCCACTCTTCTTCCCACAACCTCCATCCCCCGTCCTCCCACCTCCCCCTCCTCAGGGCCTTCCTTGGCTCAGTTCAGCGACTACTGCTCTCCAATTCCTTCGCCGCTCTTCTTCCCCTTCACCTTTCCCTTCTCCCCTGTCCCCCCCCCTCCCCCCTTTCAGGACCTTCCTTGGCTCAGTTAGCGACTACTGCTCTCGCAATGCAGGTGAGGGGTGAGGCGGGCAAACACAGGGGGGGCGGGCAAACACAGGGGGGGCGGGCAAACACAGGGGGGGCGGGCAAGCACAGGGGGGGCGGGCAAACACAGGGGGGGCGGGCAAACACAGGGGGGGCGGGCAAACACAGGGGGGGCGGGCAAACACAGGGGGGGCGGGCAAACACTGGGGGGGCGGGCAAACACAGGGGGGGCGGGCAAACACAGGGGGGGCGGGCAAACACGGGGGGGCGGGCAAACACAGGTGGGGTGGGCAAAGACAGGGGGGGCGGGCAAACATAGGTGAGGCGGGCAAACATAAGTGAGCTTTGCACAGCTAATTACACCTCATTTTCCTATCCATTCCTGCCCTTTCCTGCCCTCATCTCACTCCCTGCCCCATCCTGCCCTCATCTCACTCCCTGCCCCATCCTGCCCTCATCTCACTCCCTGCCCCATCCTGCCCTCATCTCACTCCCTGCCCCATCCTGCCCTCATCTCACTCCCTGCCCCATCCTGCCCTCATCTCACTCCCTGCCCCATCCTGCCCTCATCTCACTGCCTACCCTTTGCTGCCTGCATCTCTCTCCCATACCAATTTGTTCCCACATCTCATTCCCGTTGCTCCCATTCCAAGCGGCGACGTTTGAGGCGCCTCGGAAGTTGTTTATTCTCTCTTCCGAGTGGCGACTTTTGAGGCGCCTCAGAAGTTTGTTTATTCTCTCTTCCGAGTTGCCATTCTCTTGTCAACCTTGAAGCACTCCATTCAATCCTCTCCCTCATGAGTCGACTCCAAACGAGGTGACTTTTGAGTCGAGTCAAAACGAGGTGACTTTTGAGTCGAGTCAAAACGAGGTGACTTTTGAGTCGACTCAAAACGAGGTGACTTTTGAGTCGACCCAAAACGAGGTGACTTTTGAGTCGACTCAAAACGAGGTGACTTTTGAGTCGAACCAAAACGAGGTGACTTTTGAGTCAACTCAAAACAAGGTGACTTTTGAGTCGACTCAAAAGTCACCAGGTTGCCATTCTCTTGTCAAACTGGAAGCAATCCAGCCCATCCACTCCCTCCTCTGCCCATTCGTGCGACTTTTTGAGACAAGCAATCCAGCCCATCCACTCCCTCCTCTGCCCATTCGTGCGACTTTTTGAGAATAGCAACCCAGCCCATCCACTCCCTCCTCTGCCCATTCGTGCGACTTTTTGAGAATAGCAATCCAGCCCATCCACTCCCTCCTCTGCCTATTCGTGCGACTTTTTGAGAATAGCAATCCAGCCCATCCACTCCCTCCTCTGCCCATTCGTGCGACTTTTTGAGAATAGCAATCCAGCCCATCCACTCCCTCCTCTGCCCATTCGTGCGACTTTTTGAGAATAGCAATCCAGCCCATCCACTCCCTCCTCTGCCCATTCGTGCGACTTTTTGAGAATAGCAATCCAGCCCATCCACTCCCTCCTCTGCCCATTCGTGCGACTTTTTGAGAATAGCAATCCAGCCCATCCACTCCCTCCTCTGCCCATTCGTGCGACTTTTTGAGAATAGCAATCCAGCCCATCCACTCCCTCCTCTGCCCATTCGTGCGACTTTTTGAGAATAGCAATCCAGCCCATCCACTCCCTCCTCTGCCCATTCGTGCGACTTTTTGAGAATAGCAATCCAGCCCATCCACTCCCTCCTCTGCCCATTCGTGCGACTTTTTGAGAATAGCAATCCAGCCCATCCACTCCCTCCTCTGCCCATTCGTGCGACTTTTTGAGAATAGCAATCCAGCCCATCCACTCCCTCCTCTGCCCATTCGTGCGACTTTTTGAGAATAGCAATCCAGCCCATCCACTCCCTCCTCTGCCCATTCGTGCGACTTTTTGAGAATAGCAATCCAGCCCATCCACTCCCTCCTCTGCCCATTCGTGCGACTTTTTGAGAATAGCAATCCAGCCCATCCACTCCCTCCTCTGCCCATTCGTGCGACTTTTTGAGAATAGCAATCCAGCCCATCCACTCCCTCCTCTGCGCATTCTCCTCTACCCACTCTCCCTATCCACAACCCCTATCCCACATCCCTGCGCAATCTGTATTGAATTCTTGAGAGAATTCTCAAAAGCAACCCCTATCCCACAACCCCTATCCCACAACCCCTATCCCGCAACCCCTATCCCACAACCCCTATCTCACAACCCCTATCCCACCACCCCTATCCCACATCCTCTGCCCCACCATGTCTCCTGACCATTGAGTTTACTCAAAGTCATCTCTGAATTTGTTGCCTGCCCACATCCCCACCCCACCACGTATCCTCCCGTTCATTTCTCCCTTTCCTTGCCACATTTCCTTGTTGCTTCGGCTGTGGCAGAGTGTCCGGTGATTGTTGTGAGAGGCAAATCAGCCCACTGATTCCCCTTCATGAGCTCTTGTTTATCTCCACCGGGAATGCATGTGTTTGAAGGTAACACGTAGCCAGACAGATTTGTCTTTGTGCACACCTGCCAGTCATACTTCAAACAGTGAATCCAGTCACTCCATGCTGCAATTTTTGTGTTATAATTAAGCATTTACGGGATCAGGGTTTGGGGTTTAGGGTGTCATACTTCAAACACCTCCATTTTAGGTTACATTTAAGCATCGCATACCCCTAGATTGAATTTGCAGTTTTATTCTTAAAACAAGTGCTAGAAAGGCATAGCGCCGACATAGCTGAAGCTTGTTTGTAAAATAGATAAGCAAGAGAACCTTTCTTGAAAGGAATTATTATGAAACAATGCACCAGGGAATATATGCTACCAGTTACCATAACCCACACCCATTCATCCACACCAATAATCGTAGCTCCAATAATAGCAACTCCAATCAAGGAGTACCAATAATTCTACCCCACAGACCTCTAGACTCCAATTATTCTAGCCCTACAATAATTGTACAATTATTGCAGGCCCTGAAGTTTTATAAGAAGGACTACAGCAAAATTGTAAGGAATTAGAATTCCTTACTGTAGTCAGTTATTAGCGAGTACATTCGGAAGGTCACGCGACGAACCTGTTCGGCCTATTTCGTCGGCCGAACCACACCCGAATCGGCCTCCGCTCCAATCGCATCCATCACCGAGCCATCCTCGCCCAACCTCCCCGCCTTGCTAGGACTTTCCCTATTTAGGCCTCGTCACTTCCATTGTATCGTCATTCTGTAATTCTCATTCTCGTTATTCGATATTCTGCGCACTCTGCAAGTTCATTCATAACAAAAATCTAACAGCATACCCATTTCTTTATGTTATGTATTTCTCAACAAGGGTGTTGTTGAAATAACCGAAAGGTTATTATAAGCATTCCCGAAGACTCTCCACTGTCACGTCTCTTCATAGCGAAGCAGTCGCCTGTACCAGTATCGCATTAGCTCATATAGAGCACGCGGAAGGTCGAGGGTCACCCGAAGGTCAACAGTCGAAGACAGTCAACGATCGTGACCCTTGACTGCCCAGTAACCGCACAAGGCAGTTGCGAAGTGCAACATGGTAACGGTCTAGAATGGCAATAGTCGTGGTTACTGTAGTAAAGCAATTCGGCTAATAAGGGAATGTACCCCTCAGAGTAGATGGCTAGCTAAAAATGCTATTTATATCCTTGTACTCCTATCTTATATCTATCTTGTTCTCCTTCAATTTATTAACAAGGTCATTACAGAGACTTCACAGTTCTCTCTCTTACACTTAGCAGCATTATCCTATCTACTACGATCCTTCAGTTATAACATCATGGTATGAGAGCTAGAGTGGATTATAAGGCCTGCTAAGTTCTTGTTCTCTACAGAACATTCTCCTTATAAATTAATCATTACAGCATTAAAAGACTCTGCACTACTATGGCTCCAGAAGGAAAAGCCACTGCAGACTCTCCGGGCCCACCACCAGCAACACCCACTGCACCATCAGCAGTGACCTCGGTCAGCGCTGCTCTCGTTGAGCAGCTGGTCGCCCGCATCAACGCTCTTGAGAGCCATCAGGCGATGAGCGTTGATGGCTTAAGCTATGCACGTGGAATTGTTGGACTTCCTCTCCCTGGAGAAGGCCGCCGCGTCAACTCCGAGAGATCATTCACCTTTGACAATCGTCAAGCCTCAGCTCCTGCGCAAGACAGTCAACAACGCGCACACTCAGACACGATTGCAACAATGCAGACAAAATTCGTTCTGACATCAAAGCTGAAAACATCAGTTCCTTCCGACGAAAATGACTTCTACACTTGGAGCTTCGAGTTTGAGCTCCTCGCAACAACTGCGCAAATCTGGATGTACTACGACGGGAGCTTACCGTTTCCAACGGAAGGCACCATCCAAGAGAATAACCAATATTACCACGAATCTCTTCTCGCGTACACCGCTCTGCTCCGAAATCTCTCCCCTGACGAACAGCTCGGCATTCGCTCCTACAAATCAGAGTGGGCGACCGCGTACGCCTCTTGGGAGCACCTGCGCAACTCATACATGGCAACAAATCCAGTTACTATGAGTCGCATTCTCAGCCAGCTCACATCGGTCAAAATGCATCAAGGGGAGAAAGCGGGACCATATATCAACCGGTGCCGCAATCTGCGCGACCACATCAAGAAGTGCGGCGGATCAGTCCCAGACGACATGTTCGTCTCAATGGTCCTCTCCGGCCTCGGGCCCGACCGGCGACAATGCCAATCCCTGCTCCGCGCTCGAGCAACCGTCTCTGAATCGGCCCTGTGCGACACACTTCTCTCCGAGCAAAAGGAGATCGACCTGTACAACGAGAAGAACACCAAGCGGGAGAGATTAGTCTTCTACGTTGGAGCAACTGAAGGGGAGCAGCACGGAAAGAAAGGAACTTTCTGCAAGTACTGCAAGAAGCCTGGGCACACTATTGATCGGTGCTACAAACGAAAGGCCGCCGACGAAAGGCGCAATAACCCTTCAAACTCTTCGATCTCTTCCGCCGCAACAACCACCGTCTCGCCTCCCTCTATCGCAAGCACCTCACAGACACCTGCACGCATTACGACCAAGGACAAAGGCAAAGGGACAATCATGAGCTGCATGGCTCACCGCAACAGAGGATTTCGATACTACGATCGAGTAGAATGACCAGAATGCTATGAATGTTTCAAGCCGCTGTGCAGAAATCTGACTGTGCACTCTAGCTTTTGTTTTAGGCACATTGGAGCCTATTGTGACTATAAAAAGTGGCATCAGAGCGCCTTGGAGCAGGTTGGACGATGGCTGGACCTGCAGAAAGGGGTGACAGAGGTGGTGGAGGCAGTGGAGGACCCCAAGCACAAGGTCAACCCCGGGATTCAGCCATGGCGCCCGTGCAACCTACTCTTGGACCTTCTAGGGATGAACCAAAAGTGTTCGGGCTTGACAAGTTCAACAGTGGCAGCTTTGCTGAGTGGTCCTTCAGAATGGAGAACATGTTTAACCACTATGACCTGCTAGAGGTGATGGAAGGAACGGAGAAGCGTCCCGAGAACGACCCGGAGAAGAGCCCGTGGGTGCGGAAGAGCGCACAAGGCTATCTCCTACTTGGGCAAGCGTTGGGTGGTAGCGGCGGTAGCCATGGTGTTGGAACAGCAAATGGCGACACTGTCAGCATTCGAACCACTAGACCATTGGGATATAATGACTTGTTAAGTAGCGGGTCAGTGTGCCCATAACCTACCAGGGCAACGAGCCTGTAACCCTTCCCTAAGATCAATTGGGGATCACCAGTGGATCTCTGACACCCCCCCGAACTGGGATGCCCGAAGTGCAAACACTGGGATTCGAACCCAAGACCTTCGTTCTGATACCATGTCAGAATTCCAACCACTAGACTATTGGGATAAAAGGGCTTGTTAAGTAGTGGGTCAGTGCGCACATAACCCCCCAGGACAACGAGCCTGTAACCCTTCACTAAGATCAATCGGGGATCACCAGTGGACCTCTAACAGACACTACGAATCGAAGAGGATGAAACAGTTGAAGAAGGGGTGCAGAAGTTCTTCGACTTGTTGATGCGGCTGGAGGGAGATGATTTGAATCACAGTGAGCTCTAGAAGAAGACCAATTTGCTGGCCCTACTCCCTGAGTCATGGTTCTCGCTCATCATCAACCTCAACCGTGATCTGCCCTGCCTCTCGCTCGAAGACGTGAAGCGAGCAATCCTTCAAGAGGATTTCCGCCGCTGTCAATCGGCGAGTGCGGATGGAGCGGGGGCAGCAAGCATCGGCCGGGGTTACGGCCGAGGAAGAGGCAGAGGACGAGGGGGAGGAAGGTTGGTGGCAACAACTTCAATGGAGGCCGCGGGAGTGGCGGTTACGGCAGCGACGACAAGAGCTACGGACGCGGTCGCGACCGATTCGACGGCGAGTGTCACTATTGCCACAAGAACGGATACATGTGGCGCGATTGCTAGAAGATCCCTAAAGAATGGACCCCTGCTCAAGGCCAAGAGGGTAGAGGAGCAGGAGGAGGGAGTAGAAGAGGCCGTGGAGGCCGTGGAGGTCGCGGAGGTGGTACTGCAAACATGAAAGGCGGAGATAACGAGAAGGACTCGAGCGACGATCGGTTCCCGGGTCAATTCTTCTTTGTGTCAATGCAAGCATCGGCTGCACCAGAAGAGGATGAAGGCTTTGAGGAGCCAGCTGCTGTGGGGAAGGTGACCCTACACTCCCTGGACTATTGGGTGATCGATAGCGGCGCTACCTATAGCATGACACTTCGCGCGGACTTGCTCACCGAACTCGAACCGTCACCGGTGAAGCATGTCACTTCAGCTTTGGGGCAGCGAGCTGAGGTGAAAGGCATGGGCAAGGCCATGTTCAAGGGTGCTGATGGGAAGATGGTGGGCCTCAAGAACGTGCTTTGGGTGCCCAACCTTGCTGCCAACCTGATTTCCGTGCGGCGGTTGCAAAAGGCCGGCATGGACACGAGCTCGAAGGGAGCCAAGACCTACACCGCGAGGCTTGGTGAGCGAATTCTATGGGACCTTCACGAGGATAGGGATGTCTACAATGAGATGTGGCAGATCCCTGTGGTCCCCATGCTTAAGGAGAGGCAAGTGGCAGCAAGCGTCAGCACCAAGGGTGAAGCGGTTGGTAGCGGCGGTGGCGCGAACGGTCGCGCTAAGGAGATTGAGTCCAAGAAGTGCAATCTTGGAGGGACCAGCAAGCTCTGTGAACACGAGGAGAGTGGTGCAGCAACCAAGAAGCAGCACAAGGGTGAGGAGAACCCCGAGGCAGCAGCGGAGGAGGAGTGCGGAGAGAGCATGTGGGGCGCTATTGCAAGCGCGGCATTCTCCAATCCGACTTCGGCTACGGGGGAGTGTGATTGGCTTACCTTGCATCGACAAATGGGGCATGTAGCCCTGCCCATCTTGCAGCAGCTAGTGAAGAATGAGA